CTCAGTGATTACCAGGAACGTGAACCGGGTTTGAACCGGAAAACCGCTTTTTTCTATTAATTAACTGAACCATTAACCGAACCGAAATTTTCCACAAATGTTTGACCCAACCGAAAACCGAACCAGTTTCTGTAAAGGTTTAAAGGTTCGTTTCAACCAATTTTCAATAGATAAATGTACCCACTTTTTCTTTATTTTGTTAAACATGATGTTACCTACCATGTTTTTTACCATGTGACAATATCAAATGTAAACGCAGTCCGTCTCACTTGACCCTTAACCTTGCGCGTTGTTGCACTTGACACTTGACACTTTTGTTTTTCGAACCGTTGAAGCGAACCGAAACCCCGGTTCAAAGACCAAAAAAACCGCTTTGACGAACCAATCCAAAAGTGCAACAACGGTTCGAACCCCTGAACCGAACCGACCAAATTTTTCATCCGGTTCACGTCCCTGGTGATTACTGTAATTTCCGGCCGATAGCCCTCATCTCAGTCTTTTTGAAGAGTATTAACCTATGTCTAAAAGATAGAATATACAACTACCTTGAGGAAAATGACATAATTCCTAAACGTTCCTTTGCGTACAGACCGCATAAATAAGCTACAATATGCATCAACTACATATTACATGAAGCTGCAGTCCTCAAGAAACAAGGCAAAAAAGTAATCATTTGTATTTCAGACATCAGTAATGCGTACAACTGTGTTAATATCAGTACGCTTAGGGACATCATGGTACAAACAGACATTCATAACACGTACACTGAATGGATTACCAACTTCCAACACTAAAATATACCAGTTTGCGGATGATTATCTCATCATGTCATTCCATGACAGTCTTGAGCAGGCAACTGCGAATTTAAGTCGGAAACTAAATGACTTCGCTTCTCAATGTTCTACCCTCAACCTCTCATTCAACGCGGACAAAACTAAGCTGATTTTTTTATGCAGAGGCAAGCGCACGATTATTGACATTCAATGTCACAACCGTACAATTGAGCAGGTACACACTATTAAGTTTCTTGGAAGGCACATAAGTGCTTCTTTGGCTCTTCAAGAGCATTACAACGATACAATTCGAAAATCTTGCAGAAACGCCAACCTGTTCAAATGCATCACCACAATCAAAGCAGGATTACATCCCCAAGTCGCACTCAATTACTACAAATCTTTTGTCAGGAGTAAAATTGAATACTGCAGGTCATCCACTTCACTGTTCGAAAGCCGTTAACAAAAAAATTCAAACTTTTCAAAATAGTTTTTTAAGGAGAAGTCTGGGTCTTACTCCAGCCACTCCAATACCTTTAATCTATGCGCTGTCGAAAGTACTACATTCCTTCGGCTGAAAGGGCAAAGTGGCTTACTGCCAAAGAACTAATAAACAATTTTTACTGCGATAATTCCTTTAGAGAGCTCATATATTCACAACTCGCCCAGAGTTGACTCAAGCTACAGTGCTGTTTTTAACGAATTTAAACACTTTTTGACGACCTTCATATCGTCAGTGAATCGGCTAAGCCACCGAACCTACATATAATTACAAAGACATTGAATGACAAAAAGACCAACCTAGCAAGTGAGGTCATCAAAGCCACGTACACATCTATTTTAAATGACTATAAGAAATCTAACTTTTGCCTTTTCTACACCGACGCCTCTGTTGGACCTCTTTCCACTGGCTGCGGAGTTGTCAACTATACAGACAAACGTGAGTACACATTTAAAATAAACTTCAACCTATGGCGAATTAATTGCCCTTGTTAAAGCATTACAAATTGCCAAAGAATCTAACTATAATAAGATTCTAATATTCACAGCCAGTCTATCCGCTTGCAAACTTCTTGCCAAAGACAAGACCAAAAACCACCTGATTGTCCAATGCCACAAATTAATCCAAGGAGCGAACTTTTACAACGTTACGATTATTTGGACCCCTAGTCATGTCGGGATCTCGGGCAACGAGATTGCCGACTCTTTAGCAAAAACTGCCGTCAACTGTGATAATACCCTAGAAGTTAAGCTTACGATAGAAGAGGCGTTAACAAGCATACGCAACTCTAACTTCATAACAAATGGTATGAAGACTTTCTCGCCTTCTCCAATAACAGACACAATCTTTTTGCACAGATCTGCACTCAGAAACGGAAAAAGACATGGTTTTTCAAATTTAAAATCAACCCAAAAGAAATCAAAATTTTAAACCGTATCCTAACTGGATACACCTACGATAACGAATACCTTTAACGTATCAACGCGGTAAACACTAACACTTGCAGATGTGGCTCGACTGATAACTATGTTCATCAGACTTTCCACTTCAACTTGCTGGTCGAGGCTCGTGAGGGCTTCGAACTCGTACTTAGTNGATCTGATGTATCATTTAAAAATAGAGTTGATACACTTCATCACAATTTTCTATTTCGGCGGCAAAAAAATATTTTAGTTCATAAATTTAGAATGGTGTCACAATTTCCTTTAGACCCTATGCACCTATTTGATTTAGGCGTTACCAAAAAATTACTAAATTTGCTAATAAAAAAAGGAAACGTAATTAAAATGAATAAAAAATTAGATTATCTGTCAAATTTAGTTCCATCGGAATTTGGCCGAGTCTGTCGAAATTTTGATACAATTAGCATTTGGAAGTCGACAGAATTTAGGCAGTTTTTTGATATTTTTTTTGAAGCTTGCCAACATTTTAAAATCATATAAAATTGAGAGTAAGANGATTTTTCGTAACTTTGACTATTGCAAGATCGCTCAGCTTGCTGATTTTTTAACCAAAATTGAAGCCAAATTTTAATTTATTAGCTTTAAATTCAGAATCGTCTTATCACAGGTGTTAATACCGTCCACCTCACTCATTTCCCCCATTCAATTCTCATCACCACCATAAATTGCTCACAAATAAAATAAGCATCATATAAGCCCGCCAAATCATCACATCCGACGTTAGGTTCCTGCAACCTCCTCGAAGCTGCGCTGTGAACGTGACTTACACAATCATCTCCATCGCATGGAAATTTAAGAACTTTCTGGCTTAATCAAGGAACAGGCCTTCATTGCGCTAAACTTATCTACACCGCTGTTAATAAGCCGTTCAATTTAATGGAGTATTTGCACATGCTCATTATGTGCCACTCTGCACACTACGCTTTTTCAAGTTACACTTTCGTGTAACATTCTGCTGTATAACTATAAAGAAGAGGGATACCCTGGCGTTTGGGCAATCGCCAATCAACTCAGAGTCCAAATCCAAGTGTAATCAAGCTGGAAAATATTTACAAAACCGGGTCTGTTGTTCCAAACAGGTACAAGCGCCACAATCTGATGTATCATTTAAAAATAGAGTTGATACACTTCATCACAATTTTCTATTTCGGCGGCAAAAAAATATTTTAGTTCATAAATTTAGAATGGTGTCACAATTTCCTTTAGACCCTATGCACCTATTTGATTTAGGCGTTACCAAAAAATTACTAAATTTGCTAATAAAAAAAGGAAACGTAATTAAAATGAATAAAAAATTAGATTATCTGTCAAATTTAGTTCCATCGGAATTTGGCCGAGTCTGTCGAAATTTTGATACAATTAGCATTTGGAAGTCGACAGAATTTAGGCAGTTTTTTGATATTTTTTTTGAAGCTTGCCAACATTTTAAAATCATATAAAATTGAGAGTAAGAAAAGGAATTGTTCAAAGTTGTTGTTGTTTGAGATTGAAAATGAGATTGAGTGTGTGAGTTTGTGTGTAAAATTTTAAAATTAAATTGCATGCAAACGTCAAGAATTTGAAAAATTCCTCTCAGCGGTTCTACCTTCCTATTTTTTTATCATGCTTGAAGCTATGAATTTGTATTAGTCCATGTCGCCTTTTGAATCACATTGAGTTGCGAATCGCAATGCAGAGTAGACCCCCTGAGTAAAAGATCGACCTTTCTCCGCAGCCAGCTCTAAAATGCCCTATCTCAGAATTGGATTGAAGAACGCCCTATCTCGGAATTCGGTTCAAACACGCCCTATCTCAAATGAAAATGTGTTGCGTTCTTCAATCAAATTTGGAGACAAAATTGAAAACCATTAAACCGCCAAAAGAAAAATAGTCAATACTTATAAAATTTATTACATTCATCTGTCTGGCACTAGATATTTAATTTGTCATCATTTGTTTGTACTTAACAGATTCAACTGCTAGTTTGGCGCAAATTTTGGAAAACCAAAAAACTATAATTACTAACCAACAAAAGTTTGATGAGCGCCTTCAAAATTTTGAGAAGGCACGTGACAAAACTGTAAGACTATTGATTAATTTATACCGTAGTAATGTCCTAAATACATAAATGTATTTCAGACAATCGATAATACAACGCTAATGCCACAAAACCAGACCATTCGCCACGATCCAGAAAATAAAGGTCGCGCCATTCGTGGACACCCAATTGCTGACGTCATAAAATACTTTTGTTTACATTCACTGTTGCCAACTTGATGCTTTTCGCACCAAATTTAGTGGGTATTCAAAAAGCGAAAATTTTTGAGTTTTGTGCTTGGTGCGTTTTTGGTGCTTTTGTTTTTAGTTTGAAGACATCAAATTAGAAAATCTTAAAAAAATGGAAGCAAAATTTATAGCAATCGTAAGTGTGGTAAGCAATTTTACAAAAATTTAAACAAAATCATGGCAGACTGACAATCATAAGCGACAACGAAATATGTGCAGCACCTTCAATCATGCCGGAAGAAATCGACCGTTGTGCAAGAAACATTGATTTTTATTAATTTGAATCGGCATCCTTACAATAAAATTATGTATTCATATAAAGTCCATAAAATACACCAATAAAAATTTGGTGCCTTTTCAAATTCAAAACTTGGCAACACTGCCTTTTTGTTATGCTTCCTCTTTTTCTTGTCGAGTTCGTCTTGCTCTCTCATTCTGGTATATTTTGACGTCACGGCCAGTTGCTCTCAGCTCGATTGTCGCAATCTTGTATTCTACCATTCTTGACCATTCGCGAATGTCAAGTGCTGGTAAGCAAAGTGCTACGTTCGGTCGGTCGTCTAACAGACGAACTTGAAGACGAGATGCAAATAGAGATCGCTGCAACGTTGCCCTTGGCAATTGACGCAGCTAAAGATATCGAAGAAAAGCTGGAAAAACAGGAATACTTCGAATCAATGGTGACCGAGTTTATGTTACATGCAAGAATCATTTTACTTTCAATTTAAATACTTTTACAGAAAATCTACTTGTTCCAAATGAAAGGAAGCAACGGAACGGTGGATGACGTTTTCCGAAGGGTCATGACCGAGGAACTAGCCTTTTTATTCAATTTTGATGGAAGGAGAAGAACGCGTTAACAAAATTGAAACTAATTAACCAAGTTTTAAGCGGTAATAGATGTTTAATTGGTATCTAGTGTATGTACTACTATTTACTTGTAAATTTTATTTTCAGAGGTTTTCGCAACTGAAGGTTGAAAAGGCGTCAAGGAAAAGCATTGAGTTGAGTCACAATCGCTTTCACCAAAAGACATTTTTAATAAAAAATAAAAATGTTGCATAAATGTGTAGAAAAAAATGTAAATATTAGTGTAAGAAAATTAACCTGCATACACCAGTTTGGGCAATTTTGTTTGTTTGTTTAAAGTTATATATATATATATATACATGTATGTTTTGAAAAAGCAGTCCATTATCTAATGAACTTGTGATCAGCTAATTAAGTCAGCAATGTTTTGATAAATTTTGGCTATTCTTCTTTCGTTTATTTAATGTTTATTATTTTTTCATAAAAATCTAGCAAATTATAAAACAAACCCATATAAATCCACATTTCAAACTTTGTTTAAAAATTATAAAAAAAAACCTGCAAAGTTGCATCTAAGTATTTAACTTTTAATAAGATTTTTCTGAATTTTTTTGTGTACATGGTGTAAATTTTAAGCTGGTAATTTTTTTTCTGACCGTATTATATATTTTTTCCATACAAAACAATTTGTCCAATATATGTACTTGTATCGAAGAAAATGCGTTAAAAGATTTCCAAAAATCAACGCTGATTTTTAACAACTTCAAACTTGCACTTTATTTTCCTATAATTTATTGGACTATAAAATTGCATACTTAAAATGTTGAAAATTTAGATTAAACTTTGCCGGTTTTTATAATTTTTGCACAAAATTTGTAATGTGGATTTATATGGTATTTGTTATATAATGAGCTAGACTTATGAAAAAAGAATAACCATTAAACAAAATAAAGATAGCCAAAATTGATCAAAACGTTGCTGGCTTAATTAACTGATCATAAATGTACATGATATTATTTTAATACTATTCAAATTCATATTTAAAATATAAAAGTCTGTACTTATCATTAATTATATTTACACACATGTAACATATATATATTAACATACATATGTATATGCAGATATATGTACATATTATTTAATATGTATATAGTTGTTTCTACATATATACATAATATAATATATAATATATACATACCTATGTTAATATACATANTGTATATAGTTGTTTCTACATATATACATAATATAATATATAATATATACATACCCTGTTTACTAAATTAATGATATGTATGTACATTGTACACTTTCTACATCTAAAATAATGAATTAATATTAGTACTATATACAAATAGTATATGCATATACACTGCCGGTCACTTGATTAGGGCCACCGTTTGATCCTCAGTATTACAGTATTCCTTTTGTTTACTTACAGCTAATATAATATACATATATGTATAATATAATCTTATAATATATACATAATAATAAAATAATAATAGATTGGCGCTTACACATATGTACCCAGCAAAAAATCGGTAATCGCTTTTAGTGGTAACGTGTTCTAGAAGGCATAGCGTTGTAATGCCTTAGAATTGTTTCGCTTCTTTTAGGCATTGCCGGTAATGCAAAGTAGAATGTCCTACAATATTTTATTTATTTCACTTCTTTGTTTCATTTCGGGGAATGCAAAGTAGAATGTCCTATAATATTTATTTTTTAATTCGCTTCTTTGCTTCATTTCCGGGAATGCAAAGTAGAATGTCCTACAATATTATATTTGTTTCGCTTCTTTGCTTCATTTCAGGGAATGCAAAGTAGAATGTCCTACAATATTTTATTTATTTCGCTTCTTTGTTTTATTTCGGGGAATGCAAAGTAGAATGTCCTATAATATTTATTTTTTAATTCGCTTCTTTGCTTCATTTCCGGGAATGCAAAGTAGAATGTCCTACAATATTATATTTGTTTCGCTTCTTTGCTTCATTTCAGGGAATGCAAAGTAGAATGTCCTACAATATTTTTTTTTATTTCCCTTCTTTGCTTCATTTCGGAGAATGCAAAGTAGAATGCTGCATCGTAGTGAGCTGAAAAATAGAATGAATATCCAAAAATTCTTTTTCTACCGTTACTTTCTGTGGAAATTTGTCTCGCATAAAAATCATGTTTTGCTTTGTTCAATTTGCAGCGAAGTTGAAGTCAGTCAATGAAGTGAAGTACAAGAGTGAGGAAGTACGATTTTAAGCTTTATTAAATATGCATGTATGTACATACCGATTTTTAAGAAAATACAACTGAGCTGATTTATAAAAATTTTAATTAATTTTAATCTTTTAAGACATTTTCTGATTTCAATTTAATATAACTAAGTATGCACTTATCTAGGCATTCTACATTAGTTTCTCTGTAAGGCATTCTTTGTTCGCTTTTCTGGATTCTGTTTATCCATGCGTTCTCTCTTCGTTTTAAGTAAATGCTGCGGGTAAAGGCTTACCGCCAATGACATGCCTATGTTAAAATAAGGCCTTCTTGAAGCGAAAGGGTAAGCGATTCCCATCGCCTAGCTCGTTTCCACTTACGTTTCTGTGGTAATCGTGTTTTTTGCTGGGCATGTTAGTGTTTGGCCGAGCTTCTCCTCCGACTTGTGGTGCGCGCCTTGATGTTGTCACACAAAGCGGAGGGTCTTACAGTTTTACGCCGACTCCGAACGGCGATTGTATTTTTATGAGAAGCTGTTTTTCATGGCAGAAATACACTCGGAGGTTTGCCATTGCCTGCCGAGTGACGACCGCTGTTAAGAAAAAACCTTTTTCTATATATTTTGCGATGTTGCTTTGACCAGGGCTTGAACCCAGGTGCTGATGAGTGAAAGCGCGCACTGCTTACCACTACACCACAGCGGCCGACATATAAAAAAAGTACTCAATGCTTACTGTACGATACGAATTTGAATATATACTTGGGTAATGTATAATTCCTCAAATAATCCCTTACATAATTCTTTATATAATTCCTCAAATAATCCGTTATATAATTGCGTATATAACCCTTATATAATTCCTCAATTAATTCCTGATATTATTCCTCAAGTGATACCTTATACATCCCTTATTTAATGGCATAGACAATGCCTTATATATCCCTTAGCTATTCGGTGTTCGAGTGAGAGCGATATAGAATACATCAATACTAGAAGCCCATATAAAAGAGCGGTACAAAAGATCACACGTACACGAATTTATCCCTTAGGTTTCTCCATTTGGACTGTACAATATAATGGAAAGTTTTCAAATTCATAAGGGATACTTTTCTTAGTGATTTGGCACATATAAGGGATTATATAAGCCATACTGTTCTAGCTGGGCTATGAGTAAATACTCGACACATTCTTCAAGTACTGAGTACATTTTGTACTCGAATCCTTCGCGCAAGTACTTAGTTGGGTATCGAGTACATGGTTAAAGTATTAACTTGATAATCCACCTACATATTTAAAAGTTTGATTGTGACAATATATGAGTCATGCTATAGTACTTTTGGCAACACGTTTATAGCTTAAGTTCTATCCTACCTTAACTTGTATGAAGCAAATAAAATAACATGGCGGTAACGCTGAGCAGTGCAAAAATCGGACTTCAACAGCGCTTTGAAAGTGAAGTTGGGTAAAGAAATGAAGGAACTGTCAATGCTGCGTTTCCGTCAGTGTTGCCAACTTTTGATTTTCAGAAAGCACCAAAAACTTGGAAAAAAAGCGTTCTACCAAACTAGAAGCACAAAATTTTTTTTAATCAAAAGCAAAAGATCAATACACAAAACGTTTTCGATCATAACGATTGAATAGCCTCTACACATGCTATGATGACTCATGCTGACGACGTAATACCGAAGTACTATTAAAACTAGTATATCTCAAGAAAGAAATATCGAATTGCAACAAACGAAAATAATGCCCTATTACCTCAAATATCGCAAACAACCGTGTTTTTGGCAATCAGGGAGTAGGATATCTAAAAATTCTAGTACTAGAGCAATTGTACGGCCAGATTTGGATTCAGCACAAAGAAATTATGTGTTTTATTCAGGTGTTAAAAAATCAAAATTTGTACAAACTATTAGAAAAGAAAAAAAGAAATACCTAACTTACCTGCGTACTAGCATTTTCAACGCGAATAGAATTCAACAAGGTGGGTTTGCAACTTCAGCTTTTTATCAATCATGGTTGTATTTTAGTGCACTTAAATTTGTACATTCTTGTAAATTCCGCATCTTCAGCTTATAATATTTCAAATTATTTCAGGCTTTTACTATCTCGGAGTAATATTAGTTCAAAAAAAGCACTAAAAAAGGCACTAGGCACTAAGTAATTTTTTTGGCGTTTTAATTTTCAAAAAGCACTAAATCTAGTGCTTAAAGCACCAAGTTGGCAACTATGGTTTCCGTACTAGTCAAAGTTTCAGGTTTTGCAAGATTTTCGGGTACTATTTCGGTAGGTTTTGGCCGAAAGTATTAGATACAACTTTTGGCTACTCTTTTGGTATGTTTCGGTCGGAAAGTACTCCAACTGCTTCTTCTCCCATTAAAAATATAGCATTGCCGCGGCTGCAGAAAACCCAACGTTCTTGTTAAACTTATCAAACTTTTTAAGTAAGTACATATATACAAATACGTATAAACATGCACAGGCGCTTTGAATTTATATAATCATATGCAAAATTATTATATTAGTTCTGCGGAATGTTATAATGAGTACGAGTAAGTATTGAGTACTTCGCTCCGATACATTTGTAGCATCGATACTTTTCATCGATATTTTTAAAGAGTACAGGAATAGAGTACATGGCGGTATCGAAACAACACTGCAAATGTGTTTAAGGCAAACGGTTTAGCAATGCGTGGTATTGCTGATCATCTTACTTAAATTAAACATACTTATTATTAAAATTTTATTTTAAAAATACCACTCTGTCCTATTGTGGTACAAACATTCCTTGAAACATAGAAATCGAACCAGTAGATCAGCTGCTTTGCGCTAACAAAAACTGTGGGCTTTAATTTTATATAGAGTATAGATCATCAATTATATAAATAGGCAAACGTGTTTTCTTTACACCCCTTTTGCGGCTAAACTATACCTCTAAGGTATAAGCAATTATATATCATTCGAAAGGTATTTTGAATCTGATGTGCAGGCAATTTTTCAATTTTCAAATTA